CCGCCAGCGGCCCGTCTGCCAGCGCGTAGATCGCCGTCTCGAGGCGGGGATCGTCGGGCGCCGCGATCAGGAAGGCAGCGGCCGTCGCGTTGACTATGTAGCAAAACTCGATGCAGAAGAACAGCCAGCGCTGCGGGGGCGCGGGAGTAGGGGCCGGGGTTGTGGGCGTCGGGTTGGGGGAGGGGGCTGGGGCTGTGCTCGCATGCAGGTGCATGCGATGCAAGTGGACGCCACGGGCCGCCATGCAGTGACATGCGTCGCATGAAAGGACCCCATGCGCAGCAGGCCACTCAGGTGAGCACGATGGGCTGCGCCGGGGGCGCCTGTTGGTGGCCGCAGCGAGCAGCAGCTGCCCGGAACCTGGGTTCCACAACACACCTTGCGCTGAGCGAGCCCTTGCGTCTTTGACACGAACGGGCCGAAGCGCCAGGGGACTCCGGCTAATATAAAGACCAGGTATACCAGTGGCAGCGCGCCCGGCGCGGCGCCGGCGATGAACATGAGCACGCCGAAGAAGGCAACGCTGATTGCGTGCTGCCACGTGCGAGCGCGGCCCGCCGCGACGGCCTCCTTGAGGCGCGCGATCTCGGGGCAAGGTTGCTGCATTTCATCAGGTGGCAGATCGCGCGGCGGGGCACTAAGTGGTGGAGAGGCGCGCTGAACCGGGGGTGCTGCCATTGTGGACTCTGGCGCGCTGCAGCCGTATTGCTGCGCCTTTGTATCGCCCATGTTGTGGTGGTCTTGCAGCCAGTGGTGGCCTTGAGGCGCTGTAGTACTTCAAATTTTATCAGTTTGGCCCTTGTCATACAAATGTTCCGACTGAGCGACGTAGCTTGGCATCGCAATTCGCCAACCGCTTTCCACGCAAAGATCAATGATAGCAAGGGCTGTTCATAAAGTTGTACTATGTGATTAGCTGCAAGGAGAGGTGCATTTTTAGGTTTGAAGTATAAGGCAGGAACGGTGGGTAGGTACATGCATGGGCAAAGCAAGCTAGCCTAGCGTCGCGTTCCATGTGACAAGGGTCAATGAAAATTCAGGCAACAATGAATCACCGCTCTCTTTGTCCAGCGGGTGACCTGGTTCCGCTCCAGTCCAAACATACATATGATAAGAACCAAAAAGAGAGCCGTCACGCTCAGTTGATCGGGATGCGAGTCCCCTGTGTAATGGTTACGAAACCCAACTTGCTTTGAGCACTCGGCTGCTTGCCGCACACTTGCCCACTGCACACCCCTGGTGAGACGGTGACGGCCTAATGCGAATCCAAGGCGGTTGAGGTACACATTCATGCTGACACATGTGCTAGGAGCGCTGGCGGGGGCCGGTGTGAAGCGCGCTGGGCGGCCGCAAGAAACACCAGCCCCATGGGCTGTTGAGCAGCATGCTGAGCCGTGACGCACAAATCTGCTTCTTCACAGCGGTCTCGCTGAGCCCCAATCAACTGGCGGACTGTGGTGCATGTGATCTGTAGGTCTGGCCAACTTGTGCTGTGCATACATCGTGACTATCATTACATGCAAGACCAGCGTTGACCCACATGCATTCCCTCGCAGATGCTCCAAAACTGCGAACTTTGCAAAATGCAGATAATTCTGAGCAGTCATTGGCAATATCATAACCCAAGCAGGGCCGACATCACGCCTGCATGAGAGAGTGTTGATGCATACAGGTTGATCGCGCGTTCAATGATGGTTTCTGGGCAGTGCATGGCCTCAACAAGCCGTCGTGCGTGCAGCTCTGACGGGCACCATGCCTTTCTTCGTGTTCGAGACACCATATCAAAATAAGCAGCCTCCTCCCTTAGTGTTATTCAACTTCTGTGTAGAGTTCAAAACATGTGTCAAAATCAAACCCTGCATGCCTTGCTGCGTACGCGCAGCGTGGCCACCTTCCCACGCAGACGTGCCTCCAGCATTGCAGCTGCCCTTGCCGCCCAAGCGCGTGCAGGGACGGCGATGCGGCGACCCAGCCTGAATGCGCCTGTGAAAATCAAGACGCCGCAAATCGCAGCGATGATCATGCCCTGCGGCTGCTTGGCCTGGTTCAGGAACGGGTAGGGGTACTGCCTGCGCAAGTCGCAATCAGAGCGGTTGGAGGGAGGGGTCAGAACAGCGAGGCGCACAGCCATGGGTGGTTAGTGCACAGGAGTGTGGTGCGGCTGAGACCGATTGAAAGCAGGCGTTGCTGCGCAGGAAAGCAGCAGCGCAAGTGTCCTTGTGCTGTTTCTTTTAGGGTTGAGGCTTCAGAAATCTCGTTTGAACTATCATGTCAGCTGATGTTTTGGCTTAGAGCCATGAGCACGCACCCGTTGACGTAGCGGCACAGGTTTATGTAAGCCAGGTAGGTGATCACCAACAACTTGGATATCAGCTCGCTTCTTGCGGTGAAGCTGCGCCGGTCTGACAGCAGCAGGTCTGCCCAGGCCACCACCAAATTCAGCTTGTGCATGCTGGGGCACAGCCACCAGGGTCGGAACTTCTCAATGTCCATCATGACCCCGGTGCGCGTCATCCTGAAGGTGATGACATGGAACATGACGCTGATCACATGGGAGCCGGCAAACATGGCGCACCCGGCGTCGTCCTCCCAGCGAGCGAGGGCGGGATGTGTGCGGCCCAGCAGCTGCGAGGCGCCGGGGAGGGCGGGGCACCGCGGGGCGGGGTGGGGCAAGGCGGGGCGGGGCGGAGCAGGTTTGACCCGGTGAAGGCGCGTGTCAGGCAAGCAGAGTCGATAGTGCAGGTTGCAGCCCAGGATTTCCCCTGCTTTCCATTCAGTACCGTTGCCGCAGCTCTGCAGGCCCATGAAGCTGAGCCCTCATGCAGGAGCGCACATGCGCTTGCTCCGATGGCATGCGATTGGGGGGCTCACCACATTGCTCCAGCCGCTGACGGTGGAGAGGGCGAGGCAGAGGATCTGGCAACTAAAGCTGAAAAAGGTAAGGTACCGGGGGAACCACCCAAAGCCCTGCGCACATGTGAGCAAATAGGGTGGGGCGGATGGGGGGGGGGTCACGATCGGGTGCAGCAAGTAGAAAATACATCACAAGTCAACAAGCGGCATGCTGCGGCGCGTCCAGGTCCCTGCGTAATTTCATGTTGAGCGCTTATTTTACGTTCTGCTACACCCGTTCGATTCGAATGGGCACTGCCAGTGCGTTCCACCGGGCCTGGAGCTGGTTCGTGCGCAGTCGTTGCGTTGGCAGGGCGCGTGCACAAACCCTGCGCGCATGAGGGCTCACCAAGGCGCCAGGCAGGATGGCGGCAGCTGGCGTGAGATGGAATATCCAGCAGCGCAAAAACCAGGCTAAAGCGCCCGTATGGACGACCAGGGCGGCATTGATGCCGCCAGTGCTGGTACGTGATTGCGCAGCAGGGGTATGGGGTCAGCCGGATGCATGGTTGGGCGCTCCCTGCATCGCTGCGCATGGCCATTGCACCTGAGCTTGGCTGATATTTGAGCCTTCTTCGCCATCCCACGGCGTCCCAGCCGTCGTGGCAGGGCCAAACCGGCCGCTAGTTGAGAAGGTGGCGGGTACAAAGCTGCAGCAAGAGACAGTCAGCAAAGCAGCATGGTACCTATTTCCTGCTGATAAACTTGAACGAAGTAACGTCTACACTCATCAAGCTTGGTTCAATGCCCGATGAGATGTTTGCAGCGGTGACTACAGCCATCACCGTCGACAGGCGTGCTGCGGTCACGAATGCACTTCCGCATGTTAGATCATCAGCACAAGGACGGGGATGTCTTTGCTTTGTATGTAAACACGGTGCCACGTATCTCATTGCGTGATCTGATAACGCGCGTTCTGTTGTCATATTATCTGTAGCCTAAAATGAACTTGCGGCAAAGCTTGACATCGGCTTCAGGTCGCTCCTCGAATGCGGGAGCTGTAGCGACGATGTCAGGGGCCTCAGCCGCGGCAGCAGACGCAGCAGCCGCAGCGCGCACTGACACAGCACGCCGATCCCGGAGCAGCCCGCGACTCAGCCAGCAAGGGCGCGAGGTCTTGCAGGTATGCAGGTGCAAATCAAACAGATGTATCAGACATCCTGCAGAAACACAGTTGCAAGCGGCCAGATGCCGACGCCGCATGATAGAGGTCGCCGCCAGGGCGAACGCCGTCGCCACTCCCAGCATGCAGGCCCCCGAATTTCCTCCCTGACCTCACACACACATGAGCACCAACCAATGCATGATCATTCACCCCGGCATTGCAGGAGTTGGAGCCTTGGGTGTCAGCCGAGCTCCTGCCCCGCTTTTTGCCGCCGACTTTGCAGCAATGGCAGCCCTCGGACTTCCTTCCGGACGCCACGTCAGCATCCTTCCTGGAAGACCTGCAGCTGCTGCGCGGATCCGCAGCGCAGCTGCCAAACGATCTGCTGGTGGTCCTTTCTGGCGTGGCAGTCTCTGAGGCGGTGGCCCCCAACGGGCTGTCACTGCTGAATTCGATGCAAGCTACCGGGGACGAGACAGGGGCGCAAACGCACGCGTGGGCAAGGTGAGCGCTCGCGCCAGGGGCTTCGCCAAAGCGCAGAGGGTTGCTGCAACAAGTGCAAAATCTCAACACGCGGAGTGGGTTTCAGAGTACAGTTACAGCTTTTGGGCCATCGTCCTCAACCCACCTTGCTGCTTCCATACAACTCTGCTGTCTTGCGACCAAACGCGGCCGTGCCGCCACCGCCAGGTGGGGCCGCGCTTGGGCAGCTGAGGAGGTGCGGCATGGGCAGCTTCTCAGCAGCTGGCTCTACCTGTCTGGCCGCGTCGACTCGCGGGCGCTGCAGGTCACCGCACAGCGGCTGATCGCTGCGGGGGTGGACGGCGGCGGCCTCGGCGCTGACCCCTACCGGTTGTTCGCCCTCTGGGCGCTGCAGGTGCGACCGCCTGCGACACCGCCGCCACCTTTGGCACGAGCCCCCAGCTTCCAGGGGCATGCAGATTGGTTCTTTGGGTGTCGGTCGGCCAGTGGGAGGGTTCCCGTGTGGAAACAAGCGGAGATGGCGGGTGGCGGGAAGCCGTATAACATGGGGTTGAGCATCTGTGCTTGCACCAGTGTTGGTGCGACTCAACGACGACGCGCCCTGCAGTTGCACACGCCGCCCCTGCCGACCGCGCCGACCACAGGAGCACGCGTCCCGGGTGTCTCACGGCAACGCCGCGCGGCTCGCCGGCTACCACGGCGCCGCGCCGCTCGCGCAGCTGCTGAGCGCCGTCGCGTCCGACGAGGCGCGCCACGAGGCGGCCGCCGCGGCGGTCGTTGGGAAGCTGCTGCAAGCCGACCCTGAGGCCGCGCTGCTGGCGCTGGCTGATGTCGTGACAAGGGGGGTGGTCATGCCGGGGGCGCGCATGGACGACGGATGGCACGGCCGCGCCAACGCACGCAGCGCCAGCAGCAGCAGCGGCGGCGGCGGCGGCGGCGGCGGCGGCGGCGACGGCGGCGGTGACAGCAGCGACGGCGGCGGCGGGGACGCTCAAGGCTCAGAAGGGGGTGGCAGCGGGGCGGATCCAGACGCGGCGGTGGTCGGCCGGGGGAACGGCAATGCTGGGGGCAACGGTGGCAGCCAGCTGTACCGCGATTACGCGGCCGCCGCCGACGCGCTGGGGGTGTTCACTGTGGCCGACCACGCGGCCGGCCTTGAGCAGCTGCTGGGCGCGTGGGAAGTGAGCAGTTTTAAGGCAGACGGGCGGGCGGCTGTGAAGCTGCAATTGACCGCGGCTCGCTGCGGTGGCTGCTGACCGGTGCAGGGCGTATCATGTTGTTTGATGCCAGCCGTTGCATCGGCCAAAGTCTGCAAACGTCTGGTGCGACAGTGTTGGGTTCCCTCAAGCCTGTATGCTTGTGTGCAGCTCGCACATATGATCCGCCCTTCCCTGCGACGCTCCCAGCAACAGACCCTATTCGCACCGCGGCCGCCCGCACCCGCAGGTTCCGCAGCTACGCGTGTCGGGGGAGGCGGCAGCTGCCCAGCAGCTGCTGATGGGGCTGCCGCAGTCCATAAAGCGCCTTGGGGAGCTGCAGCTGGAGCGCAGGCTGAGGGACCGGCGGCGCGGGCAGGGGCGGAGCGCTAGTTTTTCGTGGGTGCACATGCGAGAGATCGCTCTGAGCTAGTTTGCTGGGAGCGGATGTTGGTCATGTATGTGCAGCTTTGCATGTCTTGCCTTTTTAGTATACCAGGGCACCACATGCTGTACATCTCCCGGGTTTCTATATCTCCCGGCCAAAACAGCTCACACTAGGCCCGGGAATTAACGAGGGTGCACTTGTACGCTTGTCGTGTTCCCATACTTGGGACAACTTCGTCATGGCATGTCATTGACAGGCCTCCTAGATTTGTTCATGCCTCTGGCATATGCTCATGTTTGCTGTTGTCGGTTGTAAAGTGCAAACAAGCGAGGCGCAGCAGATCGCTTTTCACAACGGGGCTGCTGTTGTATGGGAGGACATTTGAATGATTGCATGTGGATGGGTTTGGGGTCCGATTATGGGCGGATGCGATGGCGAAGACAGCGGGTAGCGGCTTGTATTCAATCGTGACATACTTGCTTCCGCTTGCCACACCTGCCGTGTGCGGTGTGTACGGTGGTGACCACTCTACCCCTCGGTAATCGAACCCTCGTCAGTGCATGCTTGATACGACGATTTTACACATGACGTACGTTGTTCAGCATCGATACGGCATTTCATCAGTGGCCCTTGCGATGCAGCGTCCACAGCGGCGAAGCTGCTCATGCAGTACTTTCCTCGGCATGACAAAGTCGCGGCGCTTCGCCGAGTGGCACAACAACCGCTGGTCCAGCTCTTCTTCTGTGACACGGCCTCATTCTGTGACACGGCCTCATACATAAGGAAGCACATTCCGATAGCAGGTTCAATCATTGTGGATGCGGGCCGCGACTACCAGCCTGCGTGATCGGACGCAGGAGTGGCAGGCGATAGTAGAACGGCTACAAAAATCTCAGGTATACTCGGTATAAAGTGACGGGCACCGACTTTTTTGCAGCCCAGCCGAGAACCGTCTAATATGCCTGCTGCCGTCCTCGCAGGGAGCTTCGGCGGGGCCGTACAGTCAGAATGGAGGTAGGTGAACCGTATGCGATAGCAGTGGCGCGTCACCGCTCTGCTGCGCCACTCTGCGGCAAGGCAGCGCGCGCCGCTCATGCACCCTGCATCACTGCCGTGCTGTCTCCCGCCCCTGTCCCCGTCCGCTGACCGCGCCCGCCCGCAATGGCACACGCCCCCGCTGCGCAGCCTCCTCCTCCGCCGCGCACCCCGCGCGCGCCCTGGTGCAGCAGCAGTCGGAATTCACTAAGCGCGCGTCCCAGATCGGCCTGTCGATTCACAAGACGTCCCTGAAGCTGCAGAAGCTCGCGCAGCTCGCGAAACGCACGTCGATGTTTGACGACCCGAGCGCCGAGATAGAGGAGATGACTGGGGTCATAAAGCACGACATTCAGCTGCTGAACGAGGGCATCGCGGAGCTGCAGCGGTTGTCGGCGCGCGGCGGGGAGGCGGCGAACCGGCAGAGTGCGGAGCACTCGCATACTGTGGTGGACTCGCTGCGGACGCGGCTAAAGGATGCGACAGCAGAATTCAAAGACGTGAGTTGTTGAGTGTATTTGTGGAGGCTGGGTAGATGGTTGTATTGGCGTGGCTATGCCGCGCTCCACGGCAAGGTCCCGCCGAGCGCCCTGAGTGTCGTGTGGGGCACGCGCTGCAGCTGCAGCTGCCGCTGCTGCCGCCGCTGCCGCCGCCAGCGCCGCCGTTGCTGCTGCTGCTGCTGCGGCGCGGCCGCTGCTGCTGCTGCCGCCGCCGGGGCTGGTGGATGCAGCTTCTGTTGAAGTAGAAAGTGCGCAGTGGGGCGGTCTTGAGGTTGGAGCAGCAGTGTGAGCGAGCAGCACGCCAACAGCAGCAGCATGGCTACAACAGCAGAACCCACCGCGTTGGTGGCGTCGACGGCGACGGGGGCAGCAGCGGCCTCGGCCGCAGCACCAGCCGTCGTCGCCCGGGTTGGCATGGGCGGCTGCCGTTTGCGGGATGCAAGTTGAAAGGCAGCCAGAGATACCTGTGTCGCCTCTGAAATCGCGTCCCGCGAACGGCAGTTTTTCATGCCCTGCCTGCAGCTGCCTGGCCGCAATGATACGTAATGTGGCTCTGCCGCGGCGCTGCTCCGTGGATGTCCGTGGCCCATACGCCAAGCCTGACGGTCTGCTGCACTTCGCCGAACCCATCCGTTTGTCTCACACAATCACACCAGGTGCTCACCCTGCGGACTGATAACCTGAAGTCCCACAACGAGCGGCGGCAGCTCTTCTCCAGCCAGCCGGACAGCAGCAGCAGTGAGCGGGCCCCTCGGGCGGTCGCATACGGAGCAGGAGGGTGTGGCCGCGGGAGTGGCGCTGCATTCGCTGGACCGTGGGGTGGTGCCCCTGCTCTGAGCTGTGGCTGCTGGGCCGGGATCGGCTGCTTGAGGTTGCGGCTACGGGCTTGCCCAGGTTCAACAAGGCAGGTTGTGTGCCTGCGCTCCTGAGCGGTACGCGCGGCGGGGACGCCAGCAGCCGCCGGTGGCCGCGGCGGCCTGGCGAATTGATGCTGACAGGGCTTGCGGACGCGCGCCCCTCCTCCCCCCACTTGCGGCCGCCCGCTCGGCCCCGCAGGCTTCTTGGAACGGACGCCGCTGCTGGCGGGCGGCGACAGCAGCAGCGGCGGCGGCGCAGGGGGGTCGGGCCGGACGGCCGCGAGCTTGTTCGGCGGCCAGGTGCGGCGAGGGGGAGGGCCCGGGGCACGGCAACCTTGGACGCCGCTGCTGGATGACTGGGGCTGCTGCGAGGGGGTTTGCCCTGCTGGCGCACAGCGGGCTGGCAGCCAGAAGTTGGCTAGATGGGACTGCAGGACCTAGGTGTAAGCGGGCCTGCGCCCTGCTCTCCTTTTCGCATCCCCACACATCACCTCCCTCCTTCCTCCCTGATCGGTTTTACTGCGCGCAGGGCGGCGGCCAGATGCAGCAGCAGATGGTGTTGCAGCAGCAGGTGCGCCGCAGCATGCCCGCGCGGTGTGCAGTTGGGAGCGATGGCGCGCGCTTGTGCTTGCTGATGGGGTCCTGGGAGCCGAACCATTATGCGCGCAATGACATCTCCGCAAGTTGCGACGCTGCGCTTTCGGCTGTGCTGTAGCGCCTGGGGCGGAACACTGTCCCTTGCGTCACCTGTCGCGTCCTCTGGACTCGCAACCAACAGGACGGCTACCTCAGCAGCCGGGCGGAGGCGCTGCACAGCGTGGAGGCGACCATCGTCGAGCTGGGCAGCATATTCACGCAGCTCGCTGACATGGTGAGGCAGCGAAGGCTGGGGCCGCGGGCTGGGGCTGCGGGCCGGGGCGTTGGGAGGCAGGCGGGATGCCGGCGGGCTGCTCCCGCTTTCTCAGTGGGTGGTCCATACCTGCATGGGAGGTGTGTGCATCCAGCACGCGGCGCGTTTTCCCCCCTCTTCCCCATGCTGCGCGGCGATGCGGCGTCGGCGGGGTTGACAGTGGTCACGTCACATGGGCCCAGCCCCATGCGCGCCAGCACCATGCTGCCTGTCCCGTGCTCGCGGTCACCCTCCCAGTCTGCTGAAAATCCCGCCCAAGCCCAGCGTCTCTCAATCTCTGCACCTACCATCCCCTGCCTACCAATCACGCTTGTCACGAATTGCGACACCACACCTGTCCCCCTACCCGCCC